GGGAGCTGCTGGTTTACACAGGTGCTGGCGAATGTAAACATCTGTGTTTAGGGACAAAGAAAAATGGTTGGGTGTGTGGGGCTGTCCAGGTGTGTGGGGCTCATGCGGGGACCGTGACCTCGCTGGGTGCAGGCTCTGACAGAGGACGCAAACCCAAGAAGCCAAAAGTGTATTGGGGTACACGCTACGCTTCACACTCTTATTCATTCTTCTTCCGTTTATAACAAAGTTTGGACACTCAGAAAATCTGTGTTTAGTGCATTTCAAATCAAGGCAACAAAATCTCCTGCCTCTCGCGCACACGACGCCCAAGGTAATGGCTGACAGCTCCTCTTCTGCGAGGAGTTTCCTTATGTCTCTCTTTCCAGCTCAGGAATGAGCCTTTGGAAGGGGCAGAGGTGGAACCGTTTGGTTCAGACAAGGCCTGGGGCTCGAGGGGGAGGCCTAGCTGGAGGAGATGGGGGGATTTGGCGGGGCGGGGTGACCCGAGCCCCCTCCTCAGCATAGCCCTTAGCTCAGGCCCCTGAAGCTCTCCCAGTGGAGGCTGAAATCCTTACCGTCAAACCATCGTCTTAGAGAGCAAGAGCCTTCCGCCCCTGGCGGAGTGCTGAATAGAGGTGCGATTTCGCTTTATCTGTGAACACGCATATTTGCAGAAAAACCTAACTCTGGGTGTGCCCGTGTTTTCACTGTATGAAGGACTCCAGCTGCCGCTGCTCTATTGTGACTTTGCCAGGCATAGATGGTTTGTTGATACCTTTTCAGCACCATGGAGAAAGCAGGTGCTGCCTTCCCTCCTGTCTATCCTGACTGTGGAGAGTGTTGTGTTTGTTGGTTTGCTTTTCTGTTGTTGTTGCCTTTCTTGAGATGTCCAAGCTGGAGTCCAGAGGTCACGGCAACCTCCACCTCCCAGGTTCAAGCAATTCTCCTGCCTCAGTCTCCCGAGTAGCTGGGCGCCCATCACCACGCCCTGCTAATTTTTGTATATTTAGTAGAGATAGGGTTTCACCATGTTGGTTAGGCTGGTCTCGAACTCCTGACCTCAAGTGATCCGCCTGCCTCAGCCTCTTGAAGTGCTGGGATTGCAGGCGTGAGACACCGCACCCGGCCTCATGGATACCTGGGATCATTTACAACATGAGGCACACGTGCATTCTCGGTGTCCACCCTTCATTGCCACGATGCATCATTGTGTGAATCTGATGCCGGGTCTGATTTTCCATCTCTTGTTTGCTTGTGAGCAGCCTGTGGTGAAGCCCAGCCCAGGATCTGGGGCGAGAATGTGGTGGGGTCAGGTGGGGACCTGGGAGGGATCTGAGGAGCTGGGCACTGGGGGAGGGGAGAGATGGGCCAGACCCAGAAATGGTGGGTTTCCTGGTTCAAAGGCAGCAAAAATCTCACCGAAAGCTTTCCCCGTTAGGAAGTATTTTATCACTTATGCAATGAATAGGGGCAATAGTGGTGCCAAGTAACAGTATCAACTTACAAACTGCAAAATCATCATAATTTTTGACAGCCAGGCGAAGTGGCTCACACCTATAATCCCAGCACTTTGGGAGGCCGAGGTGGGCAGATCACAAGGTCAGAAGTTAAAGACCAGCCTGACCAACATGGTGAAACTCTGTCTCTACTAAAAATGCAAAAATTAACCGGGTATGGAGGTTTGTGCCTGTAATCCCAGCTACTTGGGAGGCTGAGGCAGGAGAATTGCCTGAACTTGGGAGGCTGAGTTTGCAGTGAGCCACCGTCACGCCATCCAGCCTGAGCGACAGAGCAAGACTCCATCTCAAAATAATAAATTTTGGATTCATAATTTTGTATAGTATAGTAAATAATAATATTTTAGTAATGGGATATCTTTACAATTTTTCTAATTCACTTTTCTACAAGTTCATTTATTAGATCATCACAATGTATACGCTAGAAATTTCATTTTCACATGCGTGCACTCTGCTCCTGGGGCAGCAGTCGTGTGCACGCTCCCTGTCCCACCAGATCCACCCGCAAAACTCACGCTGAAAGATACAGTGATTGAGAATTTCAAGATAATGGCAGCAAGGCATGGAGCCTTCCAAGTGCGGGGCCCTGTGTGTCTGCGGGAGGAAGCTTCATGCCCACAAAGCAGCCGCGGGGCTGAGGCCGGAAAACGCAGTCTGGAGACAGGGAGCAGAAGACCCATTCACACTTCAGCTGTGACAGGACGTGTCCTTTCCATGGGGCACACGCCGAGGAAATGACTTTCTAACCTGACTTCATTCTCCTCATTTACATAGGGCGTGCCCCAAGTAGAGGGTATTTAAACTCACAGAAACGGTAACAGGACCCTGAGCCCACGCCTGGCCGCTCCCACACCACGGACTGCACTTTGGTTATCAATGAATCCCTGCTTTTGCCTTCTTCGCTTGGTTTGTGCATTTTGTCTAATTCCTTGTTCAGGACGCCAAGAACCTGTGTGGCTGCCGTGCCTGGGGACCCACATGCACACGTGTACACACTGCCCTCGGGACAGCCCTGTCGCGTGCACCCCAGGGTTGCCACCAGCCTGTGGACGCCTTGAGGTGGCTGTGGCAGGGGTGGCAGTGAGGCGGCTTCCTGTCCCTGGACCACACATTAGGTACACTGGAGCTCAGGGTTCCAGCACAGCTCGGAAGCCTGAGGTCCCCAGGGACCAGCTCTGTGGACAGCTGGGGTCCTTGCAGTGCACATGACGCCCTCCCTTGGCACAGTAACAGGGCCTCCCTCTGTGACAGGGCTACAGGAATCTTGGCAGGGGGACAACTGAGGGGGAAAGGGGCAGGAAATAGGTGAACCCCACCCACAGAGTCTCCACCCCCTCCTCCCGTCCTGTCTACACTGCAGGGGCTAGAAGCTAAACAATGTCCATTCCAGGTCCAGGCTAAGAATGAGGTCCTGCCGGGCGAATGCCTTCCCCAAGATCTGGAAGGGAAGCCAGGCAGAGGGCCCGTGCAGGGCTTCCCGTGCTGCCATGAGCTGTACCTTCGCCTCTTTTGCTGCAGCAGGTCACCTGCTCCCCCAGTGAACGGCCTGAGTGGATGCACACCCCAGGGTCGCCACCAGCCTGTGGACGCCCTGAGGTGGCTGTGGCTGAGGTGGCAGTGAAGCAGCTCCCTGTCCCTGGACCACACGGCAGGTATGCTGGAGGATAGCTCGGAAGCCTGAGGTCCCAGCGGCCAGCACTGTGGACAGCTGGGGTCCTTCCAGGAGGTCCAGCCCCCAGAGCTGCCCTTGAGAACATAGGCTTCTGATTTTCCCTCTAGACCCCCTGACTGAGAACACCCGGTGTGTCTGCCCTTCCCTGCTCTGACGGGGTCACTGCTTGTACATGCTTTCTGGGGCAGACATAACAAAGGAGCACAAATGACAGGAACGTCCCTCTCCCAATCCCGGGCGCCGGAAGTCTGAGGTGCAGGGGTGGGCAGGACTGCTTCCGTCAAGGGAAGCCTTCGAGGGAGCCTCTGCTCTGGTCTCACCCAGCTTCTGGGGGTTGCTGGTAACCCTTGGTCCTCTCTAACTTGTGGAAGCATCACCCTGACCTCTGCCTTCACCTTCACGTCATTTCCTAATGCCCATCAATGATAGACTGGATAAAGAAAAGATGGTACATATGTGCTGTGGAATACTATGCAGCCATAAAAAATGAAATCATGTCCTTTGTAGGGACGTGGATGGAGCTGGAGGCCATTATCCTTAACAAACTAACACGGGAACAGAAAATCAAATGTCACATGTTCTCACTGGTAGACCTGAGCACTGAGTACATTTGAACACAGCAGGACAACAGGCACAGCGGCCCTCGAGGGTGGAGGCAGGAGGACAGTGAGCATCAGAAAACTAGCCATTGGGTCCTATGCTGATTACCCGGCTGGTGAAATAATCTATACCTCAAATCTCCATGACATGCGATTTACCTGTATGTCAAGCCTGCGCATGCACCCCTGAACCCAAAATAAAAGTGAATGAAGGCTTGTCTTCAGACAAGGTTGCCTTCTGAGGCACTGGGGATTAAGGCTCCCCAACACTGGAATTTTGGGCCGGGAGATCAGCCGGGGTGGCTATTCCACTCCCGACTGCCTTTGAACCTGTGGCCCGAGGCTGAGTCCTGTGCGGCCACGCCTTCCCAGGTCTGCTTTTTCACGGCCCCGGACATCCTAGAGAAGCCCAAGCTCCTCCGCATCTCCACGTCTGGCTCCTGCATGCGCGGGGGCTTCTGAGGGCCTGAAGTGCCACACAGCTCAGCATATAGACCCTGCCTCATCCTTCCACTGAGGAGGCCTGGCCCTGAGCTTCCCTCCCTGCCATGGGACGGTCATTCCAAGTCCAGGGGAAGTCCCCCGCGGCCCACACCACCGCCCTCACCACCTGTCCCTCTCCCCACCACTCCCCTCACACCAGACTGTGAACTTGGGTTTACTCTGCTCTTTCATCTCCAGAGCCCAGCACAAGGGGCCCAGAGCAGAGAGCAGTAGACGTGCGTTCTGTGCATGAAGACTCAGACCACAGCATGAAAGACGCTGAGGGGAGAGACGCGGGAACAGGCCCCGGAGGAGCAGGAAGACGGCGCTTCTGGGAACTAGAGAGAGGTGGGAAGGAGAGAACTGCAGGACAGTGAGCTTTGTGCTGAGAGACTTTGTTTATTTAGAGGGTCTGGATTCAGTCTGGTTATACAGAGAGCCAGAGGGATTAGGGCTGATCACACTCCTGGAGGAAGGGGCAGCTGTCAGGGTCCAAGGGGTCTCGCCACCTCTGGGGCCTCCGGGGGCCGCTTTGGATCTTAAATGAGTGAGGAGCAGGGAGAGGAAGTTCAAAAGTCATGGGCACTGAGCCAGAAGGGGGACCCAGTCCGTTTCGGGAGCTCTGGTGCAGAGTGCATGAAGACAGTGAGGACACTGTGGAGACAGCAGAGCACCAGAGAGCCCAGAGCAAGGAAGCTGGGCAGCCAGGCCCTCCCAGTCAACCACCTGCAGTCTGCGGCCAGACCCTCAGATCTTACGCTGGCAGCACACGGGGACACAGCAGCTGGACTGGCAGCAGGATGACCCACAGCCTGAGGAGCAGCAGGGTTTGCAGCAGCTGGACTGGCAGCAGGATGACCCACAGCCTGAGGAGCAGCAGGGCTTACAGCAGCTGGACTGGCAGCAGGATGACCCACAGCCTGAGGAGCAGCAGGGCTTACAGCAGCTGGACTGGCAGCAGGATGACCCACAGCCTGAGGAGCAGCAGGGCTTACAGCAGCTGGACTGGCAGCAGGATGACCCACAGCCTGAGGAGCAGCAGGGCTTACAGCAGCTGGACTGGCAGCAGGATGACCCACAGCCTGAGGAGCAGCAGGGCTTACAGCAGCTGGACTGGCAGCAGGATGACCCACAGCCTGAGGAGCAGCAGGGTTTGCAGCAGCTGGACTGGGAGCAGCAGGGCTTACAGCAACTAGACTTGGAGCCCCCACAGGAGCCACAGCCCCCCTTGGATCCCCCACAGGAGCCACAGCCCCCCTTGCAGCCCCCACAAGAGCCACAGCTGGAGCAGTAACAGGCTGGCACACAGCAGCACACGGGCTTGCAGCAGCAGATGGGCACACAGCAGCTGGAGCCACAGCC